AGTCTGGAAGCAGCTTTTTTTGTCTTTGCCCATGTGGCACAGATCTCCTTGTCACTCTGGGAGGGTGGGATAGAGAGAGGGATAGAGAGAGGGGAGGGACAGAGAGAGGGGAGGGGAGGGAGGCTTATTTATGCATTCCTTCCCCATCAATGACCATCGTGGCAGTCTGTTAACACTCAGCCACTCTACTGGGGGTCGACTGCAGACGCACTGTGTATCACATAGGGGCATATGACCTTCTCCCTTCCCAGCCGGCAGTGCTTTTCCCACAGCACTTTCTGCCTCTTCTGCACCAGCATCTGGGGCACAATGAGTCCTGTCTATTTCTGCATCTCCCCATGGCCTTACTCTGTACAGTGAAGAACAAATAGATGGGATGTGCTCAGTGCTCCTGGATGTGCTCAGTGCTCCTGGAGTCCCCACATTTGGTGCTGTGGGAGGCTGAGTGGACCCTGGAAGGCCCAGGAGGGCTGCCTGGAGGAGGCGACATCTGAGCTGGGTCTTGGATGTGGGAAAGAAGTCAAGGGCTCCAGGCAGAGGAAGACAGAGAGGCAAGAGGAAAAGGCAGAAGACAGATGGCCCTAGTGCAGAACCCCTGAGGTTGGTGGGAGGCTGCTGGACATGAGTAGGGGGTCCTTGTCCTCAACATCCAGAGCAGTGCTTGGCACATCGGAGGGGCTCTGTATGTGGCCCAGAAGAGGGAGGAGGCAGAGATGGGCAGCTGGCATGGGTGGGCAGTGCTGCCTGCCTCCCTCTTGTGCTGCTGTTGAGACGTGAGGGACATCTCTGAGGAGAATGTAAATTGAATGTCCCCTCCTCTCTAGCTGGGCTGCAGGGACTGGAAGAGTGAAGGACACATCAGAGCCCCATATGGCTAGGTTGTCTCAGTCGCCTGCTTGCACGTGGACTCACAGATGCGGCCCTTTGCCCTGCGTGTGGTATCCTGTGGTGTCCCTGTCCCCTCCTCCATGCCAGGCTCAGACAGACTTGGGGGAGGGAGATTGGTTAGCATTCCCAGGATGTCCCCAGGACAATGACAATGATGTGACTATGGAGAGAGCTGGGATGGGAGCACAGGAAGACAGGGCGAGTCCTGGGAAGGAACAGAGGGCAGAGAGAGGCAGAAGAAGGGGATACATTGGGGGCACACTGGAAAGAATCCAGCTCTGGAGAGAGTTGGCCTTCCCAGTGCTCACTGCTAGCCAGGCACTGCTCTGAGCGGTCACATGAATCCCCTGTGTGATCTCACAGCTTTATTCAGGAGCTTCTGTCATGGTTTCCATCTCACAGCTGAAGAGACTGAGGCCTGGGGAGAAGTACCTGGCCGAGTTGTCCCAGCTGCAGAGTGGAGGAACTGGGATTTGAACCTCAGCAGTTTAGCTCCCAAATCTTAGGAAAGCCTGTGAGTGGGTGGAGAGGAGGAGCAGGCAGGTGGGACATGAGGAAGAGGCTTTGCCCTGGACTCTGCACAAGAGCCTGTTGCTCTTCTCCCCTGGCCGCCGACCATCACAGACTGGAACCTGTCCCAGGCCCTTAGGCTTTTCTGCAGGCCACACAAATGGTCAATTGCAGGAGCCCCACTCTCGTCCCTCACCCCTGAGTGGGAATGGGGTGCATACAGTATGGAGGCAGTGTGCCTGGGCCCCACTTTGTGGGGGAGACTGGATCTGAAGTTGCTGACAGGGTTGGGCTCACTGGGACTGGGCCTGGGCCTGACACCTGGACACCCAGCTGTCCATTGCTGCTCATAACGGGAAGGGGGAGGCAGCTTGGAAGGAGGAGTTTGAGGGGATCCATCCTGTCTGTCTCCAGTTGTGAGACCTGGCTCCAGCCCTGGAGTCCTGAGTGGGCTTGGGTCCCCCTACTGTGCTGGTACCCTGGAATGGCCTGTCATTGGAGAATTGGGGGGCTCCGTTAGGAGGGAGCTGAGACTTAGTGTGAAGTTAGCAGCTCTCTCCAAGGACCAGGCAGACAGGTGAACAATCAAATAAATTGACAGATTCAGGGAACTGTGGCTCTCGGATGGCATGGGGGAAGCCGGGGGTGGGGGGGGTGTTGTGTTGGTCTCACCTTCTCCACCTGCTCCAGCTCCAGCAACACATTCGGGGCATTTCAGGAAGGATGGCCCTGGGTAGGGGGATGGGTAGCATTTATTTTGTATCTGTAATGGAACAGTTGTCATTCTTGGTTTGTTTCTTTTCCTCTCCCCCTATTCCTTTGAGGCAGACCCCAGACATAATCCTATCACCTCATCACTACCTATTCCAGTACAGACTCTCAACATGGCTCTCAACTGGGGACAATCCCCTTCCCCTGGGGACATGTGGACGTGTCTGGAAATGTTTTCTGTTGTCATGCCTAGGGGAGCGTGCACTGGCGTTTAGTGGGTGGAAGCTGGGGCTGCTTCAAGGCACCTGCAGGGCCCAGGGCAGACCCCCCTCCGGATCAGAGCTGGCAGGGCAGCAGGCGAGACTTGCTCCAAAGCAGTGGCCTCTGAAAACCAGTAAGCCACAGTGCTCACTCACTTTCTCGAACGCACACATAGCCAGGACTTTGGCACTGATGACACAATTACAGATGGAATCCCATCTCAGAGGATGCCCCAGGGTGATCCCCAGGGTGGAGAGGTCTGGGCCAGTCTTCTGACTGCTGATAAGTATGGGAAAGGGGACCTGTCTACTCACGCATATCCCAGTGTGATGTAGGTATATCGCTCCACATTCCAAATGATGCAGGGCACAGGGGATGAGGGGATGGCTCCACCCAACCCTGCACCCAGCCCCTCGGTTTCCCATTTCACCATTTTCTTTCAGAGCGGCTGGGTCTATGTCTCTTCCCCTACACAACACACGCTGCACTCCCTGGTTGCTGTTGTTTTCACCCTACTACATCTTGGAGAACCATCCAGAGCAGAACAGGGGAAGCTGCCTCATTCTTTTCCATAGCTGTGTAACATTCCTTGCATGGTTGTAACTGCTTTAACCATTCCCTTCTGATGGATATGTAGGTTGTTTCCAACGTTTTGCTGTTACATATGGTAATAGCCACTGAGAACGGTATAGTGCATACAGTTTTGTAAAGATCCCAAGATCTAACAGTGAGAGGCCTTGGGAATTAACCCTAGGTTGCTCAGAAAACTCCCAAACCAATCAACTGGTTCTCCTACTCCTTCCTTAGTCTTGCTCAGGCTGGCTCTGCTCAGCTGTCACCTACCTCTCAATGCCTGCTTATCCCAGTGCCCTGTCCCCTATGTGCTCACAGGGCTGCATTTCTATAGGGACTATCCTGGTAACTATTGGCTTGCTGTGTTCTCTCCCATCCTCCCAGAACTCTGCAGGTGTTCTGTTTTCTGCTGCCCCCAGCACTCAGGACATAGTAAGTGTGCAGGAAAGTTGCTGAAGTGAATTCAGTAGACTGGCTGGATATGGGGTGGGGCTCATAGGTCAGCAAAACCTGGGCCCTGCTCTGAGAAGGGGAGTCATCTGGTTTGGGAGGTTGCCCCTAGGGATAGGGATGCCCTAGGTATTGGGCAGGTGGGCAGCAACCTCTGGCACCTAGAACAATTCTGTAACTCAGTTCTCCAGGGCCTGAAGTCTTGGCCACAAGTTTCTTGGTGGGGACTGAATCCTTAGGGGTTGAAATCTTAGATCCAAGCCTGGTGTGGGTGGCTCATGCCTATAATCCTAGCTACTCAGGAGGCAGCAATCAGGAGGATGGAGGGTGGAAGCCAGCTGGGGCAAATAGTTTGTGAGATCTTATCTCAAAAAAAACCCATCGCAAGAAAAGGGCTGGTGGAGAGACTAAAGGTATAGGTCTTGAGTTCAAAACCCCAGTACTGAAAAAAAAAAAAAGAAAAGGAAATCTTACAACACAATACAGATAGATGTGGCCCCTCTTCCACTCTGTCACCTGGATACCTGAGCAGGGCAGAAGTGTGATGTTGGTGTGGCTGAGGGAGGGAATAGAAAGGTAGGCACTGGTCCTACCAGCTGGGACAGGTGAAGGGTCCACGCTGCCCCTCCATGTCCTTTAGGGATGGCTGGCTGTAGCTACAGAATGCAGGGGCCACTTAGGGACTCTGAGTCTCTTTGCCTGAGAGGCCAAGTGGGGTGGTGGGTAGGGGATACTCCACAGCTGAGAGGCCAGGGGGCCTGGGTGCCCTGCAGTTGGTTGGGAGGCAGCCTGTGTCTCTCTGGGCCTTGCATGTAGGTGGTGGAGAGAAGGGACTTCTTAGACTCCCCTGCCCTGGCCACCTGGGCTTCCTTTTGTGGCAGTAGTAGGGGCCAGAAGCTGGAACCTATGGTCTGTCTCTGAGTTGGGCAGGAGGAGGGAGCCTGAGCCCAGAGGGAGCTGTGGGGCAGTCTGCTAGCTGGTGGCCAGAGAGGCTGTCTGGGGCAATGTGTGGACCAAATGATCCCCCAGGGCCTCTCTGATCCCGTATCCCCACCTTGAACCCCACAGGGAACCGTCTCCCCGACCTGGGCATTTTCTCCAGGCTGGTTTATCCTAGCTGTCCACATAACTCCGGCATGTGTGTTCGTGTTTGCTTACATGTGCCGCTGGTGGGGTTTGGGGGGGTCTTTGGGATCTTTGGGATCTTTGGGTAAGGCTGGGGTGGACACTCTAGGGAAGGAGCCTTGATGTGTTCTGCTGTCCCCACTGGCCATCACCTGTCTCATCGCTGCTGGGGTGGACAGGATCTGGGAGAGCTGCAGGATGGAAATGGGTAGCACGGACCCTGGCCAGAAGCAGAGGCAAGGTTGACCACCACTTGCCCAACCTCTCTTGACTTGTTTTCTTTTCTGTCAAGAGTGGCTAGGACCTGTCCTGCTTATGTCACAGGGTCTCCCCCAGGGCCGGGGGAGCCAGTGACATGGTAGGGGCCAGCTGGAGGGTCCCAAGGCGTTTGGGATGAGGGAGGTTGGTATGTAGGGGGTGCGGTGCTGGCTGGGCTGGGTGGGGTGCCAGCTACCACCATCAATGTTCCCTCTCATCCCCAGATACCCCAGATCAGCTATGCCTCCACAGCCCCTGACCTGAGCGACAACAGCCGCTACGACTTCTTCTCCCGTGTGGTACCCTCAGATACATACCAGGCCCAGGCCATGGTGGACATCGTCCGTGCTCTCAAGTGGAACTACGTGTCCACGCTGGCCTCAGAGGGCAGCTACGGTGAGAGTGGTGTGGAGGCCTTCATCCAGAAGTCCCGTGAGGACGGTGAGTCAGGTGGCTGCAGGGCCGTGTGTGGGGACAGGGCATCATGGCGTGGTGAGCACTGAGCACTGTGGAGTGTGACCTTGATGCAAGCTCTGCCCAGCCTCGCCACACCCCTCGTGGGCTTTAGTCCTCCTGGGAATCTGCTGCTTCTGTGGTGGGAAGTGTTGGGGGAGGGCAGCCAGGCCTGTTGCAGACAGGGCCAGCAGAAGACAGTCTGTGGTTGTGGTGTGAGCTGTGGGACAGTGCTGTCCTTACAGGGGTTGGGGAGGGGAGGCTTGGTTAAATAGCATCAGGGACTGGGAGGTGCAGCAAAGGTTGTTGGGGGGTGGAATGAGGAACTTGGAGTCCCTAAAATGGAGCTGTATGCAGGGTGAAGGTGGGAGGTCTGAGGCCCCTGACTCACACTAGTTGGGCTGGGCTGGTTTGGGCCTGCATGAAGGCAGTGTCCCTGCTGGTGGAGTTTAAGCAGCTCTGGGTAAGTGGTTTACTCTCCTTTCAGTCTCCCCCATTAGCACAGAACTGCCTACCCCATTAAGCTTCCTGCGTTACCTACTACCTACATCCTGAGACAAAGCTTTCAGAATCCCCAGTGGTAAGCAGCTCACACAAGAGTTAACACCTTAACCAGTGGCCCAGAAGGGCCTGAGGCCTGGCTGCTGGGTGGGGTGGAGTGGTGGTAGGCATCCTGAGGTAGCAGGCAGGCATCTGGTTGCAGTGAGCCTTGTGGCATCCTGCGGTCCCCTGTAGGAGGAACAGGGAGGTCCTTGACCCTCTGGTCAGCCAGTGTCCTGCAGAGAGCCTCCTCTGCCCCCTCCTGGTCTCTCTCAAGGCCCTGTCTCTAAGTAGCTCACCTGCCGCTCTTGACCTTGGGTGATGGAACCTGTACATTTATACCTTTGGGGCCCCAGGTCTCTAATTGCTTTTCCTAAGGACCACAGTGTCCGGAGGCTGGTGTAGGTAACACTCTGTGGGCATAATCCTGTTATAAATCTCCAATAAGCCCCTTTAATTGTATAGCTGAAGCTGCCTGAGTGCCATAGACCTGCAGAAGGGATAGGAAGTGGGACAGTGCTGCTGGATGGTCACTTGGGCCACCTCCACCCTGTAGCCGGTGGCAGAGGGAAGCAAGGACCAGCCAGACCCCCTTCACCTGCAGGCACCCTGAAACCCTGGATGGCAGTGTCAGAACCTTGGCACCAAAGCTCCCCCTTTCCCTGGCAGCGCACATATCCTTCCCTTTGCTGGGATGGGACACACATCTCTCTGAGGGTTGTACCACCATCCTGTGGTGTGGGTTCCTCTCCTCCCAATGTTCATTCCTTCCTCAAACAAGCCCACTGCCTTTTTTTTAAAGGCAAGACCTCTGCAGAATCTGGAGACAAAAATACTGGATGGAGAAAGGACAGAGGTTTTAGTGTTCATCTGCATTTCAGTCTCTTCTCTAGGGGACCTAGAGGTGTCTCCAGGACACACATAGTCCCCATGTGCAGGCAACTGCTGTCTGGTGACCCCCTGTCCTATGAGGTGGGCATCCCCAGTTTACAAAAGGGGCGGGGAGGCACAGAGAAGCCACATAGTAACTGGAGAAGGGATTTGACCCCAGGCTCCAGGACTAGTCTCAGCTGTTTTTGTCTCCTTGTCTACTCTGTCTTATTACCTGCATGGACTAGCCCCTATGTGAGTGCTGGGGCATGACAGACACAGACAGACATACAGATAGACATATGTGGTCAGTAGGTTCGGGAGAGGCATTCTGAGTATTGGGTTCTGATAGAATTTTTTATAAGCTGCCAATCAAGTGTTGTGAGTTAGAAAAATAAAGTCTACTCAAGATGTTAAAAAGGACCTCACAGTCTAGAAGACAAGCAGCTAATGTGCCATGGCTCCCACCTCAGGGTCTCCTGCCCTGGTAGAGGAGCCCCTGAGAGTGCCTGCCAACCCCTGAGCACTGTCCCTGCATGGCTGAGGGCCTGATTGCCTGCTAGTGGCCACACCCCCCCCCCCATGTCCCCAGACCTTCCCGCTCCAACCTGTGCCAAGGTGATCAGCCCCCAGGGCCTGGCTGGGCCTGCCCCATCTATGGATGGCTGGGTCCCCTGACCCTACTCACTAAATGGGATTTGATTTGGAGGACTGTGTTTGGGGGTGAAAATGAGAGGAGAGAGAAAGCCACGCTCTAGCTGGCCAAATTGAAATCAGAATTGAGCGGCTGGTAGAAAGAGGCCGCTGTACCTTGTAGCCTAATCCCTGCGAAAGATTAAAGATGTCTTTGGCCGTATATTGTATTGATTTGTCCTCTGAAGCATAAATCATCTGAGTTGCTCTGAGGAGTGGGAGAGGGAGGGAGGAGAGTTCCTACTTAGTTTTCGGCTGGGGTCGCACATCACAGTGGTGGTGAGAGAGTCCCAGGTGCCTTACTCTGGGCTGGGCTCTGGGTCTTTCAGTGGAGCATAATTGTGACCATTTTATAGACGAGTAGACTGAGACCAGAGAGGGCAAGTGGCTTTCTCAGGGTGCACACAGCCAGGGTGTGGGGGAGGCTGGGACAGGAACCTAGCTTTGTCCTCTGGGTGGGGAACCTAATGCTAATGGGGCCACTGGCTCAGGGCTTAAGGGGAGTCCAGCCCCTGTCAGCCCCCTGTCATCCTTAGCCCCTTCACTCCTGCTCTGGGCAATCCTGCAGCCTTGACTGAGCCCTGCCTGTGCGAACCTACCCCATCCCCACTCCCAACTATCTCAAATCCTGTGAAAACACTGTGTGTTAGCTGTTTTGGTCCCTATTTTACAGATGGGAACTGGGTGCTCAGAGAAGTGTGGTGGCTTGTCCAGGTAACACAGGTAGGTGCCAGAGCCGGGCACAGATCCAGGATGTAAGACTCAGGACTTCACTTCCCTTCCTGCGTTTCTCAGCTGTCATCACAGCAACCCTAGCAGGTGGCTAAGGGGTCAGTCTCTCTATCAGACAGACCTGGGCCAATGCACGGCCATGCATTGGCTGTGTGGCCCTGGGAAGGTTGTTTTGCTTTCTGGGCTCAGTTTCCTCATCTGTGAAGTGGGTATAAACCAGTTGTCAGAATAAAAGTTGCTCCTGGAACATGGAGATGGGGGCCCAAGCAGGGATGCCTTGGAGAGGGCTGTTGTTTAGAATCAGTCTGCCTGGCTCTCAGCTGCCTCAGAACCTGGCCTCGCCTGCATATACCTGGGGAGCTGAGGAATCAAGAGGGTCATGCAGTGCCCTGACTGAGGCTGCACATATGGCAAGGAATGGGGCTAGGGACAAAGCCACAGGAGCCAGGCCAGTCTGGTTCTTACCAGACAGCTGGTCTTATGGACAGAGGTCAGTGAGGTGAGTTCCAAAGGTAGTCAAATAGGACTTACGTATGCCCCCACCCAGCCCCTGGAGGGGAGGAAGGCAGGTGAAGGTGTGTGAATTCTGGACACCTGGCTTCTTAGGGGTCTGTGTGTGTGGTTGTGTGAAGGCTCTGTGTCTCCTCTTCTGTGTGTGTGGGCACTCCCGAGGGAGGGGTGTGTACAAACACATGCATATGCTGTGCACATGGACCCTCTGGCTACAGCCAGACTCCCTCCGCCACAGGGCTGAGGCTGGGAGAGTGAGGAGCTGCACTTCTCTCCCGGGCTTCTCAGCGGCAGCCAGGGCTGGGATTAGACATGCAGAGCAGGCCCAGCCTGGGCTCCTGAGATAAGGAAATGTGTCACTTGCAGAGGGAGAGCAGGCGGATGGGTGGCACAAACCTGGTGGTGGCACAGAGCCTCCTGCCCACAACCCTGGGCATTTGGGGGTTGGTGTCTGGAACATACAGCTCTACAGTCTTTCCATATCCATGGGGCCCTATAGTGAACCTCGGTTTTCCCACACTAGTGCTCCCATATTATGAATGAAGAAAAGCAAGGATATTAGGGCCTGTCCAGAATCACATGGAAGCATGGAGTGTCCGAGCCAGGGCTCCTGGTGGGTGACTAGAATTGGCGATGGTAGATAGCGTTTATGAATATCTCCTGTGGACTGGGCCCTGTGTCCCTGCTTGTAACATGTTTGCTTGTTGGCTCTCAAGACAGCTGGGTTATATAGATGGCCAGGCTGGGGCTCGGAGGGGTGAAATAACTTCCCTGAGGCACATGGTAGCTGGGCAGGATTAGAATTAGCCCATGGTCTCCCCAGCCACTGAGCTAAATTACCTCCAGTGTGTGTGACATGGAGGACACAGGTCAGCTTCAGGCAAGGCCCTCTGCATGGGGTCATGCTGGACGTTCAGCTAGGGTCCTCTTGGGTGGGTGAATCCTGAAAACCTGGGCACATTACACACCTGATGGGAAGCGGATGGCCTCCTGACATGGCAGGAAGGGGCTCAGGGCTCAGGTCTGCTCATGGAGGACGTCCTGTCCTGTAGCAGAAAGGCTGGAAGGCTTACCTCCACCGTGTCTCTGTCCCCATTGATATCTGGAAGACACGGATGAGTCAGGCTGCCATGGGCCTGACCTCCAGCTCCAGCTCCTGGGGCTGAGCGGCAGACTTGCATTCCAATGCCCTGTATCACTACAGCGGGGCACATGGCTGATGGTCTAGCTCAGGGGCACAGTTCTCTGCTGGTCCAAAGCATGGAACCAGTTGCCCCTGATTCAGCTGGGTGTGACTTGGCTGGGCTCCCTGGCTATGAATGGGCCCCTGACTGGAGAAGGACTGTGTCACCCTGAGGGGTTGGCACTGCTCATGTTTTGGGAAACCAGAGAGAGGAGGCTGGCCTGGGTGCCCCCAGGATCTAAAACCCACTTACGGTGGACATCTTGGTGCCTTCCTTTCTGTCACCTTCCCTCCCCTTGCTGACCTCATGTTCATCCTCTTCTCTCTTCTCTCTCCCTCTGTTCCAGCCTTGCTCCACAAGTGTGCTAGGCCTGAACTCACCTCAGGGCCTTTGCACTGACTGGTCCTCTGCCCTGAAGTCTCTTTTCTAGCCTGCATCCTCAGTGTGCTCAGGTGACCC